GGTGACCATAAACTCATTAGTCAGATAGAAAAATAAACTGTAGAGAGGGGCATTTTGCTAAATATATGCACCATATAACATATTCATTATAAATTTGACTGTTCTTTAATGTTTAATTTATGTTTGAATAAATCCATCAAGTTTTTATGACAACCACCATTGTTTATATAAAAAAACGAATTGAAGTAGAAATATTATGTAATTGTAACTTTATTATTTAAAAAAAGTGTAATTTTAACAAATCTTACGAACAAATTTTTACCTTCAGTATTATAGTAATGTAGTACCAACTGACTCTCATGTATATTTTACAGCATTAGTTGAGAGATTTTTTTTTCCTGAGAAAATTTGACATGTACTGTACCAAAATAATCTATATTGAATCGAATCGAATTGGTAATCGAATCGAATTGCAAGCTTGTGAATGAGAATCGAATCGAATCGTGAAATTTGTGTCAAAACCCAGCCCTAATATATGTATGTATACATTACTTTCCCCACATTTATCAGCTTGCAAAGAGTGTGCTGCACTTTCTCTTTCTTCCTTTCCTTCTTATATTTCTCTGTTTTGCAGCTATAATCTAGAGAGCAGCACATGGGATATAGTTCCAATCAATGGTGGCCCTCTGCAGCGCTATGGACACTCTCTGGCTCTTCACAAGGTAAACACACTGCTGCTAATCACCATACTTTGCATAACTTAAAGTGAAGTGACGCGTAGCCAAGTATGGCGTCCTATACTCGGAATTTGTGCACTGCATTTAACCCATCCAAGTGCACACACACACAGTAGTGAACACACACACACACGGAGCAGTGGGCAGCCATTTTTGCTGCGGCGCCCGGGGAGCAGATGGGGGTTCGGTGCCTTGCTCAAGTGTCTCACCTCAGTCGTGGTATTGAGGGTGGAAGAGAGCGCTGTTCATTCACTCACCCCACCTACAATCCCTGCCGGTACCATGACTTGAACCCGCGACCTTTGGGTTAAAAGTCAGACTCTACTGCCTTGGTGAGTGATTTGACTGTTTGCCTTTACAATTCAGAATGTGTGATTTACATATGAAAAGATGTGACCTCAGACATTGTTTTTCATAATGTTACAGGGTCAGATAGTGTTTAGCTACATGTTGCACCGAGTAGCATATACTTTAATAATTTTGTAGCAACAGTGCCCACTAGTGTTTATTTTTATCAGCTAATGTAGTAATCAGTGCATTATAAAACCCATAAAATAAAATATTATGATTTGAGATTAGAGATCCTTACACCTTTGATTTAGCATTGTAGCTTTTAGCTTAGCAATGTAGCGATTAGCATAACTGTTACATTTTTCATTATTTACTGATAAACATTGTGTATTAAACATGGGTACTTGATCAAATGCATTCTCTGTGTTAAATTATGTTTTTAGTTGTGTTAAAAAAACTACTTCCTCTTTCCAAATCTTACTGCACGTTTTCATTGAGTTCCTTCTCTTTGTTTATTCTACTTGTTAAATGAACATGCTGACATAAAAGCTGTTAAAGTAAGCTAAGTATTAATTTGTTATAGTAAAGTGGCAAGTTTTGTTTTGTCTGGAGTGGACTAACAAAAGAAAAGCTGTGCTGCATTGGCCGGGATTCGAGCCCGGGCCTCCCGGGTAATGTGGGGCTGAGGCACACATGGCGTCTAAAACCAATGCGATGAAGCAGGACCGTCAGCATAGAGAGTACAGAAACTGTAGAAGTGTACATGAGAGAGAAAAGGGAAGAACTGGAGAAATGAAATGAAGAGTGTTGAGAGTATGGTGATTGCAGCCCCACATGACCACGGGAACTCCCACAGTTTTTTTCATGTAAGCATTGGTGGTTCAGTGGTAGAATTCTCACCTGCCACGCGGGAGGCCCGGGTTCGATTCCCGGCCAATGCAACATAACTTTTCTTTTGTCAGTCCAGAAAAAAGTGACGACTTTATCGGAACATTAAAGTAAGTACTTGGCTTAGCCTGCCTGTTTAATTAAATTATTAAATTAAATTAATTAATTAAAGTAGAATGACGAAAGTAAAGGAACAATGGCAGAAACAGCTGGAAAGAGGAAAATAAAAATGTAATTTAACAGTTAATGCATTTGATCAAGTACCCATGGTTTTCATCCTAAAAACAGAACTTAAAAAAAAAAGTCTATTATTGTGACAATTTATTCAAAAATACACGTCAAATCAGAGGGTTCACTTTTTTTTCTGTGGACAAAAAAAATTAAATGTTGTGTAAATCAAGTCTGGGTGTGTGAAAATATTAAATCAAAGTTGTTTCTTGTCAAATGTACAAGTAGGCCTACCATGTATGAAGTACAATGACAATCTTACTTGAATGCTTCTCCACGGGCTATAGACAAGACAGAATACAATAGGCATTATTGCTGCATTATGTACAAAAATATGCACAAGAATAACCTGGACGCATGCTGTCACGCACTACTGTGATGTATGTTTAATTTAAGAAATAGGGTGAAGTTATTCCGTACACAACTGTCGATCACATGCTTTCTGAGGAATTTTCCACCGCAGGGTGTTCGTTTTCACCGCCAGAGCCTGTAATAATGTCTGTAGATTCATAAGAATGTTTATACTGCTATTGGTTTCAAAGATACACTCACTGAGTCTGAAGGAAATAAGCAGGAACGTTCTCTCAGTCCACAGTGTAAACTGGTTTCACTGGGCTGTTTTTAAATGAGTATAATAGAGCAGTGGATATACCTGTGCAACAATTTAGTGGTCACCAAGACCTCACACTTGTTCATTATGCATATGAAGAGTTCAGATGAAAAAGCCTCTAAGTGCCAACTGAAAGCCAACTGAAATGTTCTTCTAAAATTAGCATTTTTATCAGACTCCTATGTTTAGGTTCAGTAATTTTATTTTAATGGCAATGTATAGGTCCTTTTCTATGCCATTAAAGTGAAATAAATGAACATAACTATAGGAGCCTGATAAAAACGCTAATTTTAGATGAATATTTCACATGGCACTCTTCACATATACATACACTTTCTCTCTCATGTGCAGTGCACATTATGTTTTAAATTGGCTGCCTTCATTGTGGCAAAAGGTCCCTGGCAAATGCTTTTTAAATTTTTTTTTTTTTTTTTAAGAAGTCTCTTATGCCCACCAAGGCTGCATTTATTTGATCCTAAATACATAGAAAAACAGTAATATTGTGAAATATTATTGCAATTTAAAATAACGTTTTTCTTTTTTTAATATAATTAAAAAAAACATTTGTTTTCAAGTGATGCAAAGCTGAATTTTCATCAGCCATTATTCCAGTCTTCAGTGTGACATGATCCTTCAGAAACATTATAATATGCAGATTTATTATTATTATGTTGGAAACAGTTGTGCTGCTTAATATTTTTTGGAACTTGTGATCCCTTTTTTTCAGGTTTTTTTTTTAACAAAATATTTCTATTTTGAATAAATGCTGTTCTCTTTACTTTTTTATTCATCAAATAATTCTTGAAATAAGTATCAATCAATCAATCAATCAATAAGCTGCACAACTGTTTCCAACATTGATAATCAATCAGCATATTAGAATGATTTCTGAAGGACCATATCACACTGAAGACTGGGGTAATGATGCTAATTCAGCTTTGAGTCAGAAATAAATTAAAATTGAAAACCATTATTTTAAGCTTTGCGTCACAGAAATAAATTTAATTTTAAAGTATATTAAAATAGAAAACCAGTATTTTAAATGTCACAATATTACTGTTTTTACTGTATATTTAATAAAATAAATGTACCCTTGAGGAGCATAAGAGACTTCTTGAAAAAACATTAAGAATCTTACTGATCCCAAACTTTTAAACGGAATTGCTAAATAAAAGAATTGTTAAAATAACTGTTTTATATTTGAATATATGTTTAAATGTAATTTATTCCTGTGATGCAAAACTGAATTTTCAGTAGCAATTTCTCCACATGACGTATCGCATGATCCATCCAAAATTCCTTATTATCAACAGTTGTGCTGCTTAATATTGTTGTGAAATATTTTGTCTGATATATAAAATGTTAAAAACAACAGCATTTATTTGAAATAGAAATATTTTGTAACATTATAAATGTATTTACTGTAATTTTTGTTCAATTTAATGCGTCTTTGATTAATAAAAGTATAAATTTCTTAAATCTTACTGAGCCCAAACATTTGAACGGTTGTATTTGCAATAAAAAAAATACACAAAATAACTTATTATTGTAATGTAATATATTACATTACACATATATATCGCAGTTGTACTCGGAGTTTAGAAGATTGGCCTATTTGACCCGAGATCAACTCATAACCTGTCTAAACTTTGTAAACACCACAGAGTAATAGTAAAGAGACTAGTTTTCCATAGTTGTATGCTCAAGTTTGAGTCATGTTTTTGTTAGTTAAAGAGATGCAGCAGTGTCACTAGGTTTGAGTCTGTTCTCCATGGAGTCTTTTCTAGATGCAGTGTATTGATTGGCTGTTTACACAGGAGAATATGTGCTACTGTGAAGCTGGTAAATTGGTCTCCAACTTTAGCTCAGCCTGAGGTGATGTAATACCACAAATGCTTGCACAAGAACTCATGTCATGTTAATTTATCTGCTCTATCCTTTGCAGGATGATATCTACATGTTTGGTGGGAAGCTGGAGTCAGGCTCCGGGAACGTAACAGATGAACTGTGGCTGTTTGATACACGTAGCCGGTCTTGGTCCCTCAGAACACCCAGCCCTGGGCTGCAGGTCCAACCCTTCGCTGTGGAGGGACATACCGCTCACATAGTGGACACCAGGAATGGAGAACCCATCATGGTGGTGATTTTTGGCTGTTCACCCATTTACAGCTACCTCAGCCACATCCAGGAGTACAACATTCGTAAGTACTGATATGTGCCTGTGCCTTAAAATAGATTCAGAATTTCATTATTAAGAAAAATATTCTTCACATGAGCCCAGAGTGTAGTTTCATGACAGAGACTGCATTGATGTCAATCTGACAAACACAGACAGTTCCTCCGGCTTCCAGCAGATGGCAGTGTATTATTACATTTAATTAGCATAGCGCTTTAGTGACGACATGGTGAGTTGACATGGCCAGACTCATTAAAGTGAAGGTTTTCCACTTTCTTTTCTTTCGGTTGTATTTTCTACTCGACTCGCTCCACTCTCTGTCACAAACACACACCCAATTAAACGCACACTCATGCTTTAGGTCATTAAGAAGTGGTGGTACCTGAAGTGCACTGTCTGGAATTGAACAATGATTAATTTGTCTGAGCTCTGTTGAGGCTCCACTTACATCTCTCTTTCTCATGCTCTCGCTTTCCCCCTCTTGCTCTTTCTCCATTCGTACTCTCTAAATGAGTACATGAGCTTATTAAAGCTGGTGGAAAATGATGGCAAACGTACCTCACTACACATCTGTTAAAATTTATGACATAAAGAACTTGGCGAAATTAGAGTGAAGCAATATTTGAAGAGAGGCTTTCTTAAACTTTAGATATAGGTAAAAATTGAAGTGATGTAACAAGTCAGGAAAGCAATGAAAGGCAGAGACCACTTGACCCTGGGATCCTATGTCTCTGTAACACTTAGTCATGTGTAATTCATCACAGATGTTCTACCAGAGAGCAGCAACTAACCACAGTCTTGAAATCAGACATGTTAAATGTCAGCATGTTAGAAGTTGTTACACCACAATGTTAGCTTCTGTTTAAAAATTAGTTTTAATGTATTTATTTATTTAAATTTTCTTAATTTGAAGAAAAAAGGTTGAAAAACATTGTTGCATTGGCCGGGAATCGAACCTAGGCCTCCCACGTGGCAGGCGAGAATTCTACCACTGAACCACCAATGCTCACTTGATTTATATGTTTATTGACACATGGTCTTCCGTGGCCTCCCCCGTAATGTTTCTCTTTTTCCCCTTTATTTTTAATCATTACTTTTCAATCTTACTCCCTTTTTTTCTTTTCAGAAGTTTCATTTTTGCACCCATCCTGCCCCTCACTAGATTTTAAACATAGATTCTTAGATTATACATAGATTTGCTAGACAGAGATTTTAGTTGCCTTCCATGTAAGATCAATGAATGGAACATTAAAATTGTGTTTCAAGCATATGTGCTCAAATATTTTAGCACTTAAATACAAACAATAATAATAATAATAATAATAATAACAATAATGTATAATAAGGGTCCACTGAAGGCGAGCATTGTGAGAACCCAAGTGCAGTTTTATTATATTCCAAAAGTTAGTAGATAAACAGTAAAGGCTTGGCTTGGCCTGGCCTGGCATTGTCTCACCAACAGTCAGTGTTGCCAGATTGGATTGAAGATCTCCAGCCCAATTACAGCGTAAAACCTGCACATTTAAAAAAATACCAGCCCAAAATGTGTAGTTAAAAAAAAAAAAAAAATTATATATATATATAGGGCCTGAATTTCATTGTGGAAAATGGGGTGGATTTTTTAATTTGAGGGGGGAGTTAGGGTATTTTTTTAGACATATTTTTAAACTATAATCATCTAACCTAAATGTTTTGTCACCCAGTGTATTTGTGTTTTTCAATTTATAATGTTGTTGATTCATATTTATATTGTGAGGAAGATACTTAAAAAGAACTTTGATTTCAAACTCTGAATTGAATTAATTTGAACTAAAAAAGACAAGTAAACAATCAGTAATAAAATAAGAATAGATAAATGACAAGCAATGGCACAAACAAATACAATAACAAGATACAAACAAAAAATGAACTGTGCTTTAAGTTTTTCTAGTAGGTATAACAGTAATATTCAGGTACATAAATACCACTGAAACTGAATAATCTATTTAACTTTAAAATAACACTGGTTAGTCTTTAATGTATAAATAAACATTAGTGACAGACAGCAGCAGGTTTATTTAGGTTGCTGTCTCTTTAAGACCTCATGCACGGAACTGTTTACATTAACTTAATAGCCTATATACCGACAATGTTTAGTATAAATCAACTGTTTACATAAATACTCATCAAGATGGGCATTTTGACTAGGGATGCAGCGATTAACCGGTTTCGCGATTAACCGCGCTTTAAACCGTCACAGTTAATTAATCGTAAAGGTTCCGCTAAACCGAGTGTTTCTGTTACACGTAACGTAACTGTTGCAGCTTGCGCATAACGACAACAAAGTTACACAAGCAGTGCACCAGCTTAAAATGACGTGCTTATCAGAGGCACGGAGGCTACTACATGCATTAGATAATAACACTTTAATATCTAAAGAGTGTTCATGTGATTTTATACATTAGTAATGTTGGGAAATTAATACATGCATAATAATCGTCATAATCGTAAAACTGTGATTATTCCTCAGACAATAATCGTACAAACAAAATCTATAATCGTTGCATCCCTAATTTTTACAAAATTTTGTATGTATTTGGCTGTTTACGCGCAATAAAGCCCTGTTCACACTGCCAGCGACAAAGCGACATGCTCCCATTCATTTTCAATGGAGAGCTGGCGACTTCCAGGCGACAGTGACCGTTGGCGACAGAATGTGGGCGTGTCAAGCGATGCGAGTCAAGCGACAAAAGTTAAGAATTGTTTAACTTTATGAAAATGAACAGCGAATTTCGCGAGCGACAACCAATAGGAGTGAAGAATCTGTCAGTGGCGCTCACACGTCACCGTCTCGAGTGCAGGCAAGACAGGACAGTATTTTTATTTCTTTTGTGAAAGTCGCTCTATGTGCGTGCGCTTTGGGTGTGAGCTCACAGAAAGCAGTCTCACAGTTTAAAATTGTAAGACTCAAAAGCACGTGCAAATGATACATTCAGTCATCTGTCCCGAGCGACTTTCACACTGAAATATTTAAGAGAATTTCCCGCTTTACAAGCATGGAAACTGAAACACCCGCCAGTTGTATCAAAAAGCAGCCCAAATTTTATCAACTCGCCCAACGCATTTTTTTCCCGGTCTGACGTTACCAAAAGAAGCCCAATTGTGCGGGAACGCACACAATCTGGCAACACTGCCAACAGTAGTTACAGGCAACAAAGATAGACAAAAAACAGTGGCAACATGAGGGCTATCTATACACAAGACTAAATGACTAAACAAGGAACACCTGTGAACAATCAAGACAATGACCCAATCACAAAACAGAACTAAGAGCCACATGACCAAATCAACCAATAAGAACAAGACACATGAACAAGACAACCAATAGCAGGATTACATAAGGGCAAGGGAAACACATGACAGGATCCATAACTATGAAAAAGACAAAATAAAAGAAATGAAAACATGAACGTAAACCAAAACCCAAAACCAACCGTGACGTAATAATAATAATAATAATAATAATATATTAATACCACGTTTAGGCATGTGCTATAGTAATTTTTTTACTATACTTTTTAATTTTAATTGTAATTAAAAAAAAAAAGTTTACTATACTATAGTACACAAGTATGGAGTCTCATACTGGGAATTTGTGCTCTGCATTTAACCCATCCAAGTACACACACACACACAGGGCAGTGGCACCCGGCAAGCAGTTTGGGGTTCAGTGCCTTGCTCAAGGGCCTCACCTCAGTCATGGTATTGAATGTGAAAGAGAGCTCTGGTCATTCACTCCCACCACCTACAATCCCTGCTGGTACCGAGACTCAAACCCACGACCTATGGGTTTAAAGAGTATGACTCTCTAACCATTAGGCCACAACTGCCCCTTAAACATGCAAATCATTCAGTGCTGTGATATATGTGAAAGTACCATGGTATTACCATCTGTTACTACTGTGTTACCTCCACTGTATATTTTCGGAAGTGTTTACACCGACTTTATGCTAATAACAATATGATTTAAATAAATATATTTTTCTTTCTGTCTGTTTCTTGTTTGTTTTTTATAAGAAGTTTGCTTTCTCATGTTACCCTGCATACTGTTAGCATATAATGGACATATGATTTTCCGAGAGTAAAGTCTAACTCTTTGTCAGGCACTTACTCCTGGTCGGTGGCAGAGACGAATGGGGCGCTAGTGCAAGGAGGATATGGCCACAGCAGCGTCTATGACAGCTCCTCACATTCCATATATGTCCACGGAGGATACAAAGCCCTTCCTGCCAACAAATACAGCCTAGTGGATCATTTGTACCGCTATCAGGTCCACACGCACACCTGGTGAGTATCCATACTGTGTATGTATCCAACTATGAAAAGTTTGTGTGCCTGTGTAACGTTGCGTGACTGTGACTACCCATTTGACTAACCCTTTCAGCCTCTGAATAAGACCTTAGCACATGTGAGCAGGAATCACATCTTTGCTAAGCCGATGAGTGTACTGACCAAGACTTTCCGACATGTGTGAAATATGATAGCATTTACAAATAAGCTAGTAGTGCCACTATAAATGATGCCAGTTACTGTTGCCAGGCTGAGTTCTTTGGAGGTTTAATCCAAGAGGAACGATTCCAACATGCCAAACAGGTGTTTTATCTTTTTTTTAATAACCCTGCTGCAAAAAATAGGATAATTCAGCCAAAAATGAATCAATCAATGAAATTTTTGTCATCATTTACTCACCATCATATTGACATTCTTCCTTCTGCAGAACACAAAAGAAAATATGTTGATGAATGTTGGTAACCAAACCATTTTAGCTACCATTGGCTTCTGTTGTATGGAGAAAAACACAGTGACATTTCACAAAATATCTTCCTTTATGTTCCACAGAAGAAATAGTCATACAGGTTTGGAATAAAATGAGAGAAAGTAAAATCCCTTTAAATTACTGGTTTGCTGGTTTTAAAAGCAGGGTAGGTGATTTGCTTCAAAAACATTTTTTGTTATGCTGGTTGAAAGTTTCTTCACATCCCCATAGCAATCACTAAGTTAATAGGTCTAAATGTATTTATATATATTTACTGTATATTGTCTGTGGAAAGAGCAGGACCATAAAATGTTTGTTCAATCATATCCATCAGTCCACTGGCTATGATAGGCAGTCCTACCTGCCTATTAACTTGTGCATTTGCATATCTCCGAGCACCCTCTTCGTGCAGACATGACATGTCATCAGTGCATTCCATAACGCTATTGCAGACCGAGGGAGAATGGAAGGCGTTATTATTGTAATATAATGTGCTTTGTACTGTAATGTTTTCTCACCAGTGAATGAGACATGAGATAATTTGACAACATTGCATTCAACCCTCCACCAACTCCGTCTCTCATCGTGTCGCTGATTAGGCTCTGGTCTGCTGTGCGTGTTCATGTGTTTTGGAGGAGGCGTGGCTTTGGAGACTGATTTGCAGGGAGGGTGGGATCTTATGCTTTCAAAGCTTGTTTGCTATTGCTAGCTTCTCCGAAATCACCTACCCTACCTTTAACTGGTCTGCCAGCCTGGTCAGATTTGTCTGTTGGCTGGTTTTAGAGTCAATTCTAGTTGGGTGCAACTTTAACTATCTAAGACCTGTAAACCAGCAAAACACTAGTAAACACAGGCTGTGAGACAAGTTTAATCCAAGTAAGATCAGCTAAGAACCAGTTTAGGCTGGTTTAAGAGCAAGGCTCTTCTGCATCAAATGGAATTACTGTTTTTGGTTACACCATTTTAAAGGTGACATATCATGAAAATCTGACTTTTCCAGGTTTTAAGTGCTATAATCAGGTCCCTGGTGCATCTACCAACCAAGGAAACGAGAAAAAGATTAACCCTGTAACTTTGTTTCGGTAAGCCTTTTTCTGCAAGCGTCTGAGAAAACAAGCGTGTCTGATTTCGCTCCCTTGGTGACGTTGCAAAGGGATCTCATTATAATATTACCGCCCCTTAATCTGTAAGTTTACACCCACGGCGCCGTTGTTGTGTTTTCGCAAGCGACAACGGTGTACTAGTTCTAATGCTATGGCGAAAGTTTGAGCAAAGCATGCCAACTGTTCTGCCTTTGGCTGCACAGATGAGCACAGAACACTATTTAGAGTCCCAGCCTCAGAGGAGACAAGAGAGCAGTGGATTTATTGATTTATTTAATGAATATTGCTGCTGATACACAGATCTAAAATAAACATGCGATTCATTTCCCAGCTGTTTACCTCCACAGACATAACCGACTGTTTTTGTACACAGACACATTCTGGGGACACCAGAGACTTATATTACATATTGTAAAAAGGGGCATAATATGTCTGCTTTAAGGTGTCCTTGTTATAGTGCAATTATATATTTAAGAACTGAGTAAAGGTGTTAAAGGGATGATAGAGAAGATCCTTGGTTTTAACATTGCACTGTCACCTTTATTCTTTTTATTTTCATTTATATCCTAAGGAGATCAAGTTGAAAAAGAAGGAATATATATTTGTAAATATACAGTGGGTACGGAAAGTATTCAGACCCCCTTAAATTCAAGCAAAACGGCTTATTTCTTTAAATTGGAAAAGTATTTGTGCACCAAATACAAGCGGTTGGCTGAAAGAAAAGTTTGAGTACCTTTCAGATTGTTCTTCAAACATGGTTGAAAGGTGTTAATAGAAGACTAGGAAAAGAGGTGATACTGTATGTTAATGAAAAATACTGAGAATATTTTTTTCTTTCTCTTTTCTCGATGCCGTTTTTGTTCTTGTTTTCTCTGTTACATGGAAATGTATATGTACATGTGTATTGTTAAAATGTAATTTAAAAAGTACTGTATAATATTAATAACATGTACTTACTCTGGGGTTAGGAATAGGGTTTGGTTTAGGGTTGTTTGCATATAATTATGCACAACTACGTAACATGCACGTACATGTAATGTGTAACAAGGGCACTGTAAAATAAAACATTACCCTGTTCTTTTTTTTGTTTCTAGTTTGAGACATTTCCATTGCTAAGACAAACAGGTAGTCCCATTTAAAATTCCCTTTCCAGCAATGTTCTCAAATCTGGTCCTGTCTGGTCGCTCAAACAAATGGATTGTAGCCACTTTTGGTGCTACTAATGGTACAGATATTACACTCTTTACCTTTTAAATCCAAAACTAACTTGAAAATGTCATGACATTTTTTATTATAAACATAGTGTTTGGCCTACAGTTGAACCCAGTGGTACAACCAATGACTTTATGAATGCTATGGAACACTTTTGAAGCTTAGACAAAGCACACAGTAGTGGTAGAAGTTAATTTGAGGTTTCTTTCTCGCATTCGTTCCTTTTCACACTCAAAGACGGTTCACTTAAAAGTTGTCGGCTGCACAAAGAAAGCTTTTGTATCCATTTCTCCTAGAACGTCACTGTCTTCTGTGCTTGCAGATGGAAGACGTTAAAAAAAGAGAAACATGCCCAGTTTTTTTTTCTTTTGCCTTTACTGTCTCTTTGCTTGGCCTAGCGGTGAAACCTGTCTCTAAAAGCTCTCTTACCCTTAAACGCAAGGATCTCTCACCTGCACACACACACACACACACACACAAGTCTGACTGTGCGTTCCTCACTCTCTGGCTTTTGATTGGCAAAGTAAGTGAAAGGAGCTGCACAATGCATCAAACAATGCTTCGCTTACAGGGCTTGGGGTGTTTGACAGAGTGTAGAGAGGAGTGCTGAGTGGATGCAGAGTGACAGAGTGCTTATTCTCACACATACAAACACAATGAGGTCGAAGCAGAGACGACACATGAGATGGAAAGAGAAAGGGAGAAGTGGTGAAAGAATTTAGGAACCCATTGTGCCGTTTTGAAGTTAGAACTTTAGAGAACAGTTTAAAGGAGACATATTATGCCCCTTTTTACAATATGTAATATAAGTCTCTGGTGTCCCCAGAATGTGTCTGTGAAGTTTCAGCTCAAAATACTACACAGGTAATTTATTATATCATTTTGAAAATGCCTATTTTGAGTGGAAGCAGAAACACGCTGTTTTTCGGGCCTGTCTCTTTAAATGCAAATGAGCTGCTGCTCACCCTCTGAGGCTGGGACTGTAAATAGTGTTCTGTGCTCGTCTGTGCAGCCAAAGGCAGAACAGTTAGCGTGTTTTGCTCAAACGTTCGCCATGGCATTACACCGTTGTCGCTTGCGAAATCAAAATTATGGTGCCATGGGTGGAAATGTACAGATTAAGGGGCGGTAATATTATAATGAGATCCCTTTGCCACGTCACCAAGGGAGCGAAATCAGACGCTTGCAGAAAAAGGCTTACCAAAACAAAGTTACTGGGTTAAACTTTTTCACGTTTCCTTGGTTGGTAGATTTCATGATATGTCACCTTTAAGAAAGTGTATTGTATATTTTTGGAAACTAAAAAAAAAAAGAATAAATAAATGATTATGAATGAAGGAGCTGGTTCTTTTTAGTAAATCATAACCATACAGCAAGGCCTGTGTAGTCTGATTCACAAATGAACAACTTTTATGAGCTGGTTGTTTTTAGAGGATCAGAAACATTTAGCGTGAGCTGTGTAGTCTGACTCTGGAACAAATGACGCTTTTTAGTGAATCAAAAACATACAATATATCCCTGTGCAGTCTGATTCATAAACAAATGACTCTTAAGAGCTGGTTCTTTTTAGTAAATCAAAATTATACAGCAAGGCCTGTTTAGTCTGAATAATGAGTGAACATTATTCCTGGTTGTCTAGTGGTTAGGATTCAGAGCTCTCGCAGCGGCGGCCCAGGTATGATTTCCGGTCAGGGAACACTGTTTGTGGGGCAGTCATGGCCTAATGGTTAGAGAGTCAGACTTGTAACCCAAAGGTCACGGGTTTGAGTCTCGGTACCGGCAGGGATTGTAGGTGGGAGGAGTGAATAACCAGCACTCTGTTCCATCCTCAATACCATGACTGAGGTGAGACCTTTGAGCAAGGCACCGAACCCCTAACTGCTCCCCGGGTGCTGCAGGTGTGTGTTCACAGTGTGTGTGTGTTCACTACTCACTGCTGTGTGTGTGCGCACTTGGATGGGTTAAATGCAGAGCACAAATTCTGGCTACACGTCACTTTCAATTTCAGCAGGTTGTTTTTAGAAGATTAAAAGAATCACCATGACAAGTGTAGTCCGATTCTTGAACACATATACTTTTTTAATGAATCTAAAACATATAGTACGAACAGTGTAGTCTGATTTAAGAATGGATGATTCTTAGGAGCCCTTATTTATTGAATCAAAACCACAGTGCAGCCCGTTTAGTCAGATTCACGAATAAATAACTTTTATGAGCTGGTTCTTTTTAGAGGATCAAAAACATTCAGCGTGACCAGAGTAGCCCGATTCCTAACCGAATAGCTATTTTTAGTTAATTAAAAAATTAAGCATGCTGCATGCTGCACAACTTCTTTTCAAGGCCCTTGTCATTTCTAGGCTGGACTACTGCAATGCTCTTCTGGCTGGACTTCCATCAAGCACAATCAAACCTCTACAAATGATTCAGAATGCAGTGGCATGGCTGGTCTTTAACGAGCCCAAAAGAGCCCATGTTACACCTCTCTTTATCTCCTTGCACTGGCTACCGGTTGAGGCTCGCATCAAGTTCAATACATTGATGCTTGCATATAGAACAGCCACAGGCTCAGCACCCGCCTACTTCCACTCACTACTACGAATCTACATCCCCTCCAGAAGTCTGAGATCCGCTAGTGAGCGACGCCTCGTGGTACCATCACAGAGAGTCTCAAAATCACTTTCCAGAACATTCTCGTTCACCATTCCTGGCTGGTGGAATGATCTTCCCACCCCTATCCGGAATGCTGAATCCCTGACAATTTTCAAGCGACAGCTGAAAACTCATCTCTTTCGACGCTACTTTACTTTATCCTAAAAAAAAACTGTCTTTCTCTTCATTTACTACTTCCCTTTCTAGCTTGTATTTATTTGAACAATGCCTAAAACTTGGTATCACAAGCACTTCCTGTGTCAGTTTGCCTCTTTAAGAAGAATCGCTTTATGTATTCCCCAATTGTAAATCATTTGGATAAAAGCATCTGCAAAATGACTAAATGTAAACGTAAAAACAGTTACTAAAATAATCAGAATTTCTTACTGTTCAGTTATTTTTACATCATGTTTGCCTTGAAACAAACCAATAACTGTTACTATGTTATGCTGTACTTTAAGCCTGTGAGACTTAAATCAATGTAAAAACTGTCTGGTTCTTCATGTGAAAAAATGAATTTTGTGAGTTTGTGATTGTGCGTGTGCTTATGTGTTTCTGTGTGTGGGTAGATGTCTCTGTTGTGCCATATTACTGATGGCGTCCGTCTGCGTATCTGACCTAGCCTGTGGAGAGCGACCTTCAGACCAACTGTTCCATCCCATAAGCTAAACTCTCACGCACACGCTGCATTACAATAGCCAATGAGATGTGTGTTTGCCTCTCCCCAGGTTTATTCTGAAGGAAAGCGGCCTGGCAAGATTCCTCCACTCCACTGTGCTGATCAGTGGAGTTCTGCTGGTGTTTGGGGGAAACACTCATAATGACACCTCGCTCAGTAATGGGGCCAAATGCTTCTCCTCTGACTTCCTGTCCTATGACATCGGTATGGACCACCTGTGACCTCCTTTCTCTGATTACACTAGTACTTCCTTAAAGGTGAAGTGTGGAATTGCAATAAAAATTCCAAGTTGTGATTTTCGGAAAAATAATAATAGTGCCATTGTTTGGAATTTTTTTTGCCCAGGTTTATTCTGAAGGAAAGCGGCCTGGCAAGATTCCTCCACTCCGCTGTGCTGATTAGTGGAGTTCTGCTGGTGTTTGGGGGAAACACTCATAATGACACCTCGCTCAGTATTGGGGCCAAATGCTTCTCCTCTGACTTCCTGTCCTATGACATCGGTATGGACCACCTGTGACCTCCTTTCTCTGATTACACTAGTACTTCCTTAAAGGTGAAGTGTGGAATTGCAATAAAAATTCCAAGTTGTGATTTTCGGAAAAATAATAATAGTGCCATTGTTTGGAATTTTTTTTGCACATCACATTTAATTAAGCTTTATAACATACACTACCACCACACATTGGATTCATTAACTATATACTCTGTGATTTATGATTCTTGAATAAGAATGGATCCAGTGACGTATTATGAGAAACAGAATGCATGCACACTCAGCGGTACCATTACTGTAAATTGTTTCGTTCAAGCTGCTGCAGTTTGATATTACTGACAGTTCATTATAGAAAGCTGATAAGCCAGTGGCGATCTACTGGAGTGCACAGTTGAGTCATAATGGAATTTCACAGAATATTGCTGACATATGCTTGCGAGACACATACAGGATGCAGTGACTGCATGTGCGGTGTCTGTAATCAGATCTTTGGTGGTACCCTCATGGAAGACCTCCCAGTGCAGAACCTTTAAATAGTCCACATACCACCTCGTCAGTGCTCTCACTTTTTCGCTTTTTGGAAGTGAGTGTCTGTGGCTCTGTTCCAAAACCTAGGGAACTGCCTATGTAGTCAGGATTTTAAGGCATCATATGCTGAAGACATGAAACCAGTTCGAATTATATAATTTAGCTTCTTCAATTCCTTTATTGGTCGAATTCTAAGGTCAATTCCAGAATGCACTGAGCCGGTCAGGAAAAAAAAAAAGATTGAGTGCAAAGTGAACAAAATGTCAATAATGTCCCAAATGCAGCACACTGTTTTTGAAACCTAAATGCCAACCTAGGCTCATTGAGAAAATGTTCCTCTGTCTACATTTTTGCAAAAGTTCAAAAATTACCTATACATACAATTCACTGCTGTCACGTGTCTGTTCCTGTTTGCCCTTATTTGGTTCTTCCTGTGTCCTGTCCTCATTGGTTACCATTTGTGTCCAGCTGTGTTTCATTAATTAGTTTATTTGATTCCAGGTGTGTCTCGTTCCTCCCTGATTATCCTGTGTTTAAAAGCCCCAGTCCATTCAGTTAGTGTTTGTCGGTTCTTGAATGTCATCCTTGTGTGTCTCCAGATGTTCCCTGTCTTTTGAGTCATTAAAGACTGTTATTTGAAGCTGTCTCTGTGTCTCCTCATTCCGTGCTCCTTGAGTAAGTGTGACAGAAGAACCGACCGTGACTGTAAGCCTTCTACCCGTGTTTGTTTTTGTTTTTTTCCTGTTCGATCTTCCCCGCTAACATGGAGGAACGATCTTTTTTCATCGCCGTCGCTCAGGCGAACCCCGACCCTGTCAGTTACGCGAGGGCATTCGTGCCGCTCGCCCTCGCCAGCTCCCTCGAGGGGGAAACCCTAATGACTCTGTTCCGGCTCGGAAAACATACCATCGCCCACTCACCATATTTTACAGTACCTTAGACAAGGAGATTGTGGAGCCAGGGGAAGGTGAGCGAAAGGATGAGAACAAGTAAGAGCAGGGGCGGACTTAACCATTAGGCAAAGATAGGCGACCGCCTTGGGCCCCCGAAAGCCAAGGGCCCCCTAAAATGCTTTTCATATAGGATATGCGCATTAAGCGCGGACACGCGAACATTTGCTGTTTACGGTGTTTATTACCACGACAACCGTCCGAGTCAGTGGTGCCTGCAGGTGTAGGCTACGGCTGTATGCACTGTGAGTACCACGAGCGCTCAGACTGATCTGAGATTTGCCCCGCAAACATTTCAGCAGTTATCATAGGCCTGTGTGTCCCATATTTCTGTCGACTTAACCATGCCATTAATTATGAATTTATCAGTCTTTTGCATTTTGCCTGGGGCCCCCAATTCACTAAATCCGCCCCTGAGTAAGAGATTGCGCTCGTTCTTAGAGAATTCCTCCCACAGTCTTTCATACTTCACTTCCACCTGGTGCCACTCTACTGCAGTATGTTTGCACAGTATTTTGCAGTTCAAGTGGATTGTACTGGCTCTGTTCTGATCTTAGGGAGTGGTCTTTTTTGGCTTGAGTCTTAAATTGGCTCTGTGTGCTCAAGCCACTTTGTCTGATTGCACAAGTTCGCTTGGACAGCCTTGACTGGCTTTACACATACTGGTCTGTCCACATATCCATCACTACCACTAAAGCACTGGCCTAAAATCTGCTCTACTCACTTAAATCATTAAAGTAGCAGATTAGGCCATTTTCTGTTCTCCACCACCAGGCTTCCTGGAAATGCTCCTGGAATTGCTCATAACTGTTGGTCCTCTGTTCTTCCTGCTGATGATACAGAGGGCGACCTTTCCAACCTGCTGCAGTGTTATGGAACACACTGAAATTATGTCAAGAACTCTTTTCTTGACTTTATACAGTGTAAAATGCTGTTTGTATTTAAATGACTGTTTATTGGACTGATTATGTTTGCATTGAGTGCAGTGATTGTTCTTTTTGAATTGCACTTCTATGTAAACCGGCTTTTTACTGCAGCTGGTACTTTTCTAAATTCTTTATTTATTTAAGGTTGAAATGACTTAAAAAACCTGTGGAAACCAATTACCTCAAACTTTGCAAGCAAAGTAGTTCATCACATTTGTGCTTTAGCTTACTACAACTTTGTATAATGATTATAGGTTATGATTATAGATTTTATTTGACATAAAACTGAATGAGAGTCCAAAAAGCTGATAGAGCTTGAATGGCCTTAGGGAGGAAATTTTCTTTTTTTTGGTGAACTATTCATTTAGGTATTGGTAACTCAATTTCATTAATTAAGATAAGATTAATATTACACAGTACACAGAACTTAACAAAACTGTTTAAAACCTGTAAAAGACAAGATATTTTTGGGGCAACACTAGGCCATTTATATGTTTCCTAAAATATATTTGTTCCATAAAACTTAAAGAAAACATATAAATAAATAAGAACTTTGAGTTTTTATTACTTTTAAAGTGTGTTGTCAAATCAATAAACTTTTAAAAACAGTAAAGTAAAACTGCAATAAAAGAGTGCATATGATGCCAACCCAGGAAATCAAATTCAAAGTCTTATGTCCCTAAGGCTGTAAAGAAGCAGTTTTGTGATATTCAGGTTTAAGATTTGGCTGGCCACACCATATATACAGTATATCACGGTGATCAAGTGAAATGCAAGACATTAAATAAGTTGTTAATAAGTTTGTTCTGGTTAACGTCTTAAAGTCAAAACATAATTTTCTCTTCAGTTTTGTACTATTGTTTCTATTGCTATGAACTCAGTGGCATCTTGAGTGAAAGCCATACCATCTTAGGTCTTTGGTCACAACTGTTCACTGGGCGTTTTCAGCATTAATCAAGTCATATTCTGACATCCTCATTAATAAACAAGACTGAAATGTTGTCATGTAATCCCTTATGCTAATGTCTGAAATGTTGTCAATATTCAGGCTGACTTTGGCATATATCCAAAATAACCTTTCATGTTGGCGACAACTCAATTTGCATATTATCCTAAACAGTATTAAATGAAGAATAATGCTTGCCAAATCATAGTATGTGGAATGTAGTATAACATTTTGACTCCGTTTTTTCATAATTTAGCTTGATGCATGACATGCAAACAAACACAGTGTGATAAGATGGTCAATGCTACAGGTGGTATAGCATTGACCAGTATGCACTACAGTACATACACACTATAAAGTATGCAGTGCTTTCCCATCGCCTGCAACATGCTTTTGTATATTTATATACTTTTAGTCTGTAGAATGCGAATTGGGCCTTAATTTTCTCTTCTTCCATTTGCGTTAATGAGCTTTTTAATGTTATTTAATTGCCACTTGTGTGGCAAGTTCCTTGTCCTGTCCTCAGCCATGCTCACCTCTTTTTGCTCAAGAGCACACTCCATCTCTCCATTGATTTTTCTTTCTTTCTTTTTATTTTTACTCTGCCTCAATGTTTGAGGAGAGAGAAGGGACATTATTAGCTCTTTTTATGCAGTTTTTCTCACAATGAGGGACTGAATTCAGGATGACACAGAAAGCAGTTTTCATTTGAGTACCCTCATGGAATGTCTTCCCCCACTCTCGTATCTCTAATTAGATTCAGAGAAAATGAACCCTAATTAAAATTGTAGCGCTCTGGCTGAGAGGCGTTGTGAAGCGTGGTTTTTTTTTTCTTTTTTTCCCAGCACAGACCTTTTGTTTTAATACAACCAAGAGACTAGGTAGCAGATTGCCTCGGCACAAAAACATATTTTATTAGGCTTGCAATTAAAATGGGTTTGATTTCCTTCCTACTGCATCTCCTGTTCTCTACCTCTGCTCTATCTGCTCTTGTCATCCAGTGTTTCTTCGCTCTGTTTCTTTGTCTCCTGTACATTAGCGATGGGAGTTGGGCCAATATCCTGTGAGGAAATGAAATCTAGGCAGAGCCAACGATGACTATCAGGAGTGGTTTTACTATTTGAGAGAATATGAGTGTCATCTTTAGATCTGTAGAGGTTTGGACCAGATTTATTGAAGAATTGAATTATTCCAGCCAGAAAACTGTTGGGTGGCCTACAGTGTTTGACTAAACTGTGATGGGACGAAAACAGTGGCTGCGTCCGAAAGCTTAGGCAGCTGACTTATTGCCTCGCTGCCCTATGATGCAATGACCGTGCAGGCAGCATTTGCGCATGAAGGTACCTCCTGAAACTGATTTTGGACAAACCTCTGAAGCAACATAATAATTCAGTGATCTGCAACAAAACAGAGTTTTGGTGATAACTAAGTGAACATTTAATTACCACACTGCTAATTTTTTTGCTAGAAATGACAACAAAAGTGGAAAAAGTTGGTCAAAACTTACATTTACACACAAACTGACAACCAAACGCAACTTTCAAATGCCATCTTTATTTTTTAGCTCAACTGTCATGGATTTGAATGTGCAGAATAGTGCAATATCATAGGCAGTGAAGGATACAGTACATCTCTTCTGCCTTCAAAAATCAATCAGATGTAGTCATCTCAGGAGACAGGATGTGACACGATCATTGGATTCAGACTACTTTGTTGCCTACCTCCGTATGCATCTAGCTTTCAGATGCAGCCAGTGTAAAAGTGACTTACATTGTAGTTTATGCATTCCCTGGGACAGTTTGGAAATGTGATGCAGAAGTCACTTATAAAAAGCTTTAACAGATAATAAGGACAACGAAGAACGTTTGAAGATATTTCTAAGTTACGTCAGTTGTTGCTTAATAAGAATAGGGTAGTATTTCAATTAAATTTACACTCTTAACACTGATTCACACCTTTGTAAGTTGTTCACATGCAGCTTCCACTGCAATTTATAGGCTGCATGATGTCAAGGTGTATGATACGGTTAAATGCCAGAGTGTTCCATCACATTACAACTGATTAATCCACATATGGCAAACAATGAATGAAGTCTTCCTGACATTCCAGGACAATGTTTTCTTTATCAGATCATGTCAATTCATGTCATGTCCAGCGTCCATTAACTTCTGCTGTAAAACCACCACGATGAAGGGTGTCGCAGGAGGTCCGAAATTTGCTGAATCCACTTTGCGTGGCCATTTGGTCTGTTTTCTGAGATAAAATTTTGTGCGTGTGCTTGTGTGATTTTAGTTAAACAGCAGCTTGATCAGTACTGCACTCAATAGAGCTGTTTGCAACCTGGCCACACTTTCTCAGCTCCCTGTTTGTCTGAGATTTCTGAGGGGTAAATGTCAAATTTACATAGTAATGCCGTGGCAGTCTGTGTTGACTAAGAAAGTGTGTGATGGCTTTTGAATCTCTTTATCTGATGCTTGTCAGTTCAGTTTGGACTCTGGGCACCTGAAGACTGACGTGATCAGTAAGATTTTAAAGAAATTTTTACTTCTATTCAGCAAGAGGACATTTATAATGTTACAAAATATTTCTAATCAAAGAACCCTGAAAAAAAAATGAATCATGGTTTCCAAATAAATATTAAGCAGCACAACTGTTTTCAGCATTAATAATAATAAGAAATGTTTCTTGAGCACCAAATCAACATATTACACACATTTCTGGCTGCTAAAAATTCAGCTTTGCCATCACAGGAATAAATTCCATTAAAAGAATGTGATTTCAAACTGTAATAGTATTTTACATTGTTGTTTTTATATGCAATATAAAAGCAATTGGCTAAGCATAAGAGACTTCTTTCAAAAACATTTAAATATTTTACCTACAGTTAATTTTTGGATGGTAGTTTTAGTGTGTATGTATTTCTTTTTTATTGTAGTGACAGAGTAAAAATGGGGTGAAATGTAAAATGTTCTTTTGACATCAGCAGCTCTGAATATCTAAGACAGCTCTGAATATCTAAGACAAGGTCTTCAATATTCAGTGGTTTATTTTTCTTGTTTGCAGCCATAAAGACATCTTTGTTCACTATCACTAGACAGAACTGCAATATGTTGTTGTGTTGGGTTATCTCTGTGATGTAGTGCTGTGCTTGAGCGCATGTAATGTGTGGCGTTAATCTCTGGTGCTGTCATTAGTGGTGCTGTAGGGAGGCTGTGAGATGTGACAGTTGTTTCTCTCTCTGTTTCTCACTTTTTCCCGTGATCTGTATATTGTTGTTTTCTTATATAAGAATCACATATTACAAAACATCTTTGCACAAGGGGTTGTTAACAGTGTGTATATATACTGTATGTTTTCTTGACACATCTGTCTGCATATGTATTGTGTATATGCACATTAATGCATTTACTAGGAAAAAGCTTGTAGAATGTAAAGAGAGTCTTTGGTTTTCTCTCCTTGCTGATTAACTGACCATGAGAGCAGCTAATTACTGAATTAAAGAGCGTGTAACGAGCTGAGAGTGTGTCCGATCTGGCAGCCTGGGAGAAACATATGCTAAAGAGCTCATGTAACCTGGACAAACACGTACAACTCAAAACAGACAGAAGTCTGTGTCAGTAAAAAGGTTTGGTTTACATAGAGTATGGTGTACACTGCTGCTATGGCTTTCACTCCTGATGATTACAATATGTCTGCACTGATATTATTATTCTGGCTGATATAGATAAGCTGCATTGTCTAAAAAAAAAATCAATCAGTTAATTTAAATCCTACAAGTGTGTTTAGACATCAGAACATTATAATGTACAGTATAAAATTGTCATTTTAATGTTGTTATTAAATTCTTAGTTTTTTTTTAGAGATTAAAGTGGTGTTAGATGATGGCAAAGGTAATCCAAAGATTTGCTTTTTTATAATTAATACTTTTATTCAGCAAGGATGCATTACATTGATCAAAAGTGACAGTAAAAACATTTATAATGTTACAAAAAAATTATTTAAAAATATATAATTTGAACTTTTTATTCATCAAAGAATCCTGAAAAAATTATTTAAAATTACCAATGGCTGCTGAAAATTCAGCGTTGCCACCACAGGAATAAATCATATTTTAAAATATAAAACAGTTGTTTTAAATTGTAAATCAAGTTGATGTCGAGGTAACGTTTTATAATGGAATTACAGATGGCAAAGGTAATCCAAAGATTTGCTTTTTTATAATTAATACTTTTATTCAGCAAGGATGCATTACATTGATCAAAAGTGACAGTAAAAACATTTATAATGTTACAAAAAAATAATTTAAAAATATATAATTTGAACTTTTTATTCATCAAAGAATCCTGAAAAAATTATATCACGTTTTCCACCAATGGCTGCTGAAAATTCAGCGTTGCCACCACAGGAATAAATCATATTTTAAAATATAAAACAGTTGTTTTAAATTGTAAATCAAGTTGATGTCGAGGTAACGTTTTATAATGGTATTACAATGCTCTCTGTTAATCCAATAGCATGCTATTTTCAATTTAGCTTTTCTTTTACTTTATTTGCGTGTGTGCTTTGCAGCATGTGATGAGTGGACAGTTCTTCCGAATCCCAATCTTCATCGTGATGTCAACCGTTTTGGACACACAGCAGTTGTCAGCAATGGGTAAGTTCTTAATGTGGTCTCTTTCCATGTGTTGATACCATCAGTATATGTACTCTTCCTGTACCCAGGTTACTTTTTTCCATTGAAATTCATTTAGTTAAACAACTCATCTTGTGTCGGAAAAAAAAAGTTCACTTGAATTTGTGGCCTTATCCTCTCATTTCCTTTGGAAAGATGTTTTGGCAAGACAAACAGTTTAAAATACAAACAGAAAAGGTCTGTGTTTTCTCTTCCCCTCAGCTCAATGTACGTTTTTGGTGGTTTCTCTGGTGTGATCCTGAACGATGTGCTTGTGTATAAGCCTGCCAACTGTGAGGCCTTCCTCGAGGTGGATCTTTGTCAGAGCTCTGGTCCTGGTGTTCGCTGTGTCTGGATTGAGGAACGCTGTGTACCCTGGAACTCCAGCCATGCTAATGACAGTGTGCCTGCCTCTTTCTGTCCTACACGCACCTGTAAGAACCTATCATTTTAAAAGCTTATGTTCAAACCCCGGCTACACACACAGAATTACTTTTATGGTCAATTATGGAGGTATTGTGACCTGTTTTAGAGGCATGTTTCATCATACATTCACACTAAATTTATTTCTAATTCGAAGGAGTCAGTGAAAGTGGGTCTTGCTTCACCCTGAAGGGGTTTATTTTGTGGTTGACTAAATTATTCCACCTACTACAAGGCTATTTAACATAAATATATGTATAAATGGATATGTAATATTGATCTGAGTAGCACAGCATTGTAAGAAACCAGTTGCCTAGAATGGCAGGACTAAAGTTAAGCAGTTTAGTCTTTATACATTATATACAAAAGTCATTATACAAAAATATTTAACCACAGAATGGTATGATTGACCAATCTGTATCAAGTATTCCAATTGGCCGTATAATAAGATAAATGAGGTGTCAGAATATACTCTACTGTTTAAAAGCTTTTTGTTTGTTTGTTTGAAAGAAATACAATTATATAATATTATTATAAATTATATAATAATTATATAATTTTAACAATACAAAATGTTTGTGTTTTATTTATTTTTTAACTTTCTATTCATCAAAAAATCATGAAAAATCTTGTGTATCCTTTCGACAGAAATATTTAGCAGCACAACTGTTTATAACACTGATAATAAGAAAAGTTTTTTGAGCAACTAATCAGCATATTAGGATCATGTGACACTGAAGACTGGAGTAATGGCTGCTGAAAATTCAATGAATAAATTTTAAAATATATATTAAATTAGAAAAGAGTTGTTTTAAATTCTAAGAATATTTCAAAACATTACTGTTTTAAATGTTTAAATGTATTTTTGATCAAATGAACGCAGCCTTGGTGAGCATAAGAGACTTCTTTTTAAAAAAAAATTAAAAATCTGACGCCAAACTTTTGAACAGTAGTGTGATTTTTTAAAAAATGAAAAATCGGTGATCTTTATAAATGTTTACACATCCTTTCAACTTGTGGGAATATCTATACACCTGGTTTACTATCGCACATCACCATCCCAGTGGGGTGGAATTCACTGTACATCTCATTCAATTGTGTTAGACCTTCAGTCAAACGCACACCTGGAGTAAATCCTCTGTCAGGAGATTATTGTTTAGCCACATATAATCCTATTTACACTTGATACATTGGGAGGCTTATATGCAGAGCCACTCGCATGTTCTGCTTTACCTTGATGGCATACAGCCTGTTTTCCACTGGGTAAACCCTGCCTGACTGTGAAAATGCCTGTTGATTATTGACTGAACAAAAGGTCAGTTGGCACATAATAATCTCATAGTGATGTAATTATGATGGCAATGAAACCAAACTCCAGCGATTGTGGATACAGATGTTTTTGTTTGTGGGCAAAACTGGACCTGAGAGGATTACTGCAATTACCACGTGGAGTTTGGAGTGCTATCAGAGGTGGATTGGACTTTAATTAAGTAATGGATTGACAGACAAGTTCATGATGGATTGTGTATTGTGTGTATCTCAGAGACCTGTAATCGTGCAGTTTATCATTGTATGTAGGCACTGTTTGGGTGGTTGCTCCCTGTATACTGTACATTATAGTATCTGGACTTCATGCTGTACTTTACTATGCACTATGTTCCTGATATTATTATGTATTGTGTATACACTCGCACACTACCATTCAGAAGTCTGAGGTTAAGGCAAAATATTGCAAAACAATAATATTGTGAATTCTTTTATATATATATTTTTTTTACAATTGAAAATAACTGTTTTCTATTTAAATACATTTTAAAATATAATTTATTCCTGTGATGTCAAAGCTGAATTTTCTGTATCAACTACTCCAGTCTTCAGTGTCACATGATCCTTCAGAAATCATTCTAATATGCTGAATTGATGTTCAAGAAACATTTATTATTATTAGAGCTGAAAACAGTTTGTGTGCTGCTTAATATTTTTTGTAGAAACAGTGTAAGGGAAACAGGTCAATTTAGCTCAAAGGGAATCATTAATGTTGAATCATTATCAGTTAAGTCATAGTAAATAGTAAGACGAGTGTGAAGAATCTTTGTTACTCGTATTCCTTTTCTCCCATCCTTCGTGTTAATTTTTGTCCTGGATTTTCTCGTTGTTTATTCTTTGAAACTGTTCCAGACAAAAGCCAGTTCCTGTGTGACCTCTCTTTCCCAGAAATAATGATGAAAACAAACCGACAAACAGAAAACATCCTCCCAAAAAGTAAAGAACAGGAACAACCGTACTTATGTGTTATGATGGTTATTCATGGTCTGAAATAAACAAATTCACAGTCAGTACAAAAGTTTCTTCTCTGTCCTTGGCTCTTCCCCTCGATTCTGCGGTTTTAATTTTGCTGTGCCCTGCCCTGTCCATGTCCACCTCCGCTGTTCAACTTTAGTCCTTACCTATGTGTCATCGCACACTCATTTTTCACCACAGTTGTGAAGTGTTTCACCTTGAGAGCTCTGAGTCAAGACCCTCGCTACCTCCGACCTCCAATTTTTGTTTTATGCTAATAAGTAGATATTTTCCTTGTCTCTGATGATTCTTGTTTTTTTAACCATAGATTCAGCTGATAAGCAGTGTAAGCAGTTTTCAGACTGTGTTTCCTGTACGGCCAACACCAATGACTGCCAATGGTGCGAAGACAAGAAATGCATCTCTTCTTCAAGCAACTGCACTGTGGTATGTCCAAATTGAGACACTGCAGTTAAAAAGATTTAAAAGCATTTATAGCAATTAAAATATGCTCTGTCATGTTTTGTCTGCGTTTAGCTTACAGTTGATCTTGCCCGCCACCCTCGAGGTCCCCTGTACCTCAACCCTCCCCCTGCAATGCTTTCTGAGCAGCAGCTCTCTATTTGGAGACCTGGTGTGCGCAAAAACGGCCAGGTATGCAGCAACAGAGCTTATAAAATGATTGATTGATTGATTGGCTTAGAGAATTTTCATCTGTAACCGCTTGATTTCTCTTGTTTCTTCCTCATATAAATGTTTTAGAGGGTTTCCATGGATTTCTTCTTTAAAGACAACACAATGTTGTACAGTAAATGTTCTTGGCACATTAATATATAGAACCAGAAGTTATCTTATTTCAGTCCTCTTGTTTTTCAGTCTGTGAAGAACTTTACCAAATGCAGTGTTCGAAGTGAGCAGGTTTGCAGCAAACTGGTGAACTGCAGGAGTTGCTTGCTTAACATCAACTGTCAGTGGGAACCACAACAGCAGGAATGTCACGCTTTGCCTGGTGAGTTGAAGTATGGATGAATGGATAGATGTACTGACAGAGCAATTTCATGTCCATATAAATAGTGGTTAAAGTAGACATTGCTTCTGTGTAACAATAGTTTACAAGGTTATCATTTAGAAAGGTTATTAAGATTAAAATAATAATAATAAAGTAACTTAATACTTTTATTCAGCAAGAACACATAAAAAATGATAATGAAGACATTATAATATTACAAAACACTTCTATTTCACATAAATGTTCTTTTGCAGTTTCTATTTATCAAAGTATTCTATTTTAAAAAGTATCACTGTTTCCACAAAAATATTAAGCAGTTTTCAATTGTTAAAATGATGAGAATGTTTCTTGAGCACTAAATCAGCATATTAGAATGAATTCTGAGGAATCATGTGACTCTGAAGACTGGAGTAATGACTGCTGAAAATGTATATATTAAAATAAAGAACAGGTCTTTTAAATTGTAATAATATTTTAAAATATTACAGTTTAACTGTATTTTTGATGCAAGCTTGGTGAGCATAAGAGACGTCTTAACAAAAAAACATTTAAAAAAATCTCACTGACCCAAAACTTTTGAACAGTAGTGGAAGTGTCAAAAAAGTGTCACACCTGACCTGTCTCTTTGATGGCCCTAATCTCTGAAAACAGCACAGGGAATTGGTCCACACATTTTAGCTAATCAGAACACCAGCCAGTTACAAGTGCTGTCTACCTGTGATCATTTTGTGCATTCAGATTTGTTGACACTGGGTTTGCTGACATGATGATTTTTGGGGGACACGATTTTGTAAAGGGCAGAAAAGTTAAGAAAAGTTTGTGCATCTCAGACGCAGAAACAAAGGAAACACGTTTCCATACTCTGACGGCATCTCTACCGGTTTTATTTGATCTGATCTAGTTTGAGAGCAGGAAGTGATGCAGTTGTTCGATGTATTATTAACATTCTTGTTTCTCCCTTGGGAAGAAATGTTTTCTTCTTACACTTTGTACCTATTCTCTGTATTTTCCAGTCTCCTGTAAAGATGCGTGCACAAGCACACACACAATTTACAAAAGTGAGTGTTTAATTTGTGAGTAAATGGCCATAATTCATGTACGTTGAAGGTTTGAGCAGTCTCTCTGTCTCTGATACCATGATCTTCTCAAGGACATAAGCCAGAAAGACTCATTTTTAAGCTGTCATATTTCTGACTGATAGCTCAATTGGAAGCATACATACACACACAAACTAACAACTTTATCTGCAAAGGACATCAACTCTGCAGTAAAGACGTGTATATCCAAGCATGGAAAAACCTTTGCAGCTGTATAGTACATCACGTATGAGTTCTGACCTGGACCAGAAGGCCAGTTCCAAGTGCAGTAATTATTCAAGTTTGCTGAGCTATTTATCCATTCATGGCTGAGCAGCCTGTCAAGAAACCCAGGGTTTATTGTTCTTTTTCTTCACTCTGTTATTTCTTTCTTTATCACATAACAGCCTTTATCTTAGAATATAATCAACTGTATTTTATAAACTATATTTTTTATAAAATACACAGTTGAAATAAAAGGGGTGCTTATTTTTATGCTATTTTTAGTGCTGTGTGGTTTCATAATTGACTATGACCAAGTGCTTTTCCTTGTGTTTTTTTCTTTTCAGAAATTTGAGGGGTGGGTGTTTGTGGTTAACCATTGTCTCAGTTAATTATTCAGAGCTGCTCACAGTAATGAGTTCAAACCCCAGATTGTAGCATGGTCCTTAATTGTAAGATATAGTTTGATTTACACTTACTGTTCAAAAGTTTGGGGTTGATAAGATTTTTTATTGTATTTGAAACAAGGCTGCATTTATTTGACCACAAATACAGTAATTTTGTGAAATATTATTACAATTTAAAATAACTGTATATAACAATTGTAAAATGTAATTTATTCCTGTGATGGCAAGTCTGAATTGTCAGCAGCCATTACTCCAGTCTTCAGTGTCACACGACCCTTCACAAATTATTCTAATATGATGATTTGGTGCTCAAGAAACATTTCTTATTATTATCAATGTTGAAAACAGCTGAATATTTTGTGAAAAACCATGATACATGTTTTTTTCTGTAGTGAATAGAAAGTAACTGCATTTATTTACTTATTTTTGGCTGTATAGAAAGCTCCTTTTATCAATATCCTAATCAGAATGGTTTGTTTGCATTGTTCAGAGGTCTTGTGTGAGTGAGGCGCAGTTTGGACAGTGAAGCCTGGTTTTATCCTGAATTTCTCTGCTTCTTTACAGCACACTTGTGCGGAGAGGGTTGGAGTCAGGTTGGAGATGCATGTCTGAGGCTGAACGCAAGTAAGGAGAGTTATGATAATGCCCAGCACTACTGTAAAAACCTGGACAGCAACATTGCCTCTCTGACCTCCGCCAGGCAGGTGGACTTCATACTGGATGAGCTGCAGAAGTATCAGCTGCAGGAGAAGGTGAGTCAAGCTCAGTCACTGTTGTTTGTGTGCTAGTTTACATTGATTTATCTTGGTAATGGTTGGGTATTGATCTAGAACACAGTCAGCAGTTACCGTTTTTTCAGTATGTTGTATACTGATTAGTTATGTCACCATGTCAAAAATTCAGCAGTCAGTGCATTACCAGTGAAATTTCATGGTACTAGATACCGGTTTTGAAAGCAGTGACTGATTTTCTCCTTTTCTTTGACTTTAGTCGTTATTTTTTCATGAATGAAAACATGGCCTTTTTTAGTCTTTTGCATTCAGTCATAAAGTATGCTATTTTACAAAACAACTTAAACATGGGGAACATCACAAGCAATTTATCATACAAGGATGAGCTAGAGTAATAATGCCGGTTTACATTCACTTAATACTTTGCCAAGACAGGCATTACAGAATGTAGAAAGACGTATATTGCTACTTTTTTTTTTTTTTAACATTGGCTTGGTATTGCAATACCAGTATTTTTGTAAAGGCCCTTTAACACCAACTGCAGTGTGTAAAAGTAAAGGAATAATGCTGACAGCAAACTTTTTTTTTGATTGACACAAGCTCTTCTGTCTGGGCGCCTGACTTGTTTACCTAAATTAGTTCTCATTTTTAGGTATATTTGCCTTGCACTGCTCTGAAGCCCATTTTAAAGTGATTATTTAAACACCCTCAAATATCCCAACAGATATTATTTCTGTCCAAGTAAACAAACATTAGCATTTACAATTTATTTGGTAAGTTTCTGTGTGTCAAGTCCAGATGCAGTGCCAGATGTTTCGGGTGTAGGTTGGTTTCTAAATGTCAGTAAAGCTTAAACTTTCAAAAAACCTTACTCATGCCTTCAGTAAAAAGCCATTCTGCACAAAATCTGTGGAGTCTCCCCGGTCCCGTGCTGTAAATATTTGTCATGTGTTAATTAAAAGGAAAAGAGTGACTCTCTCCGTAATCCGCTCCCTTGCTGATTGCGGTGTGAGCCTCGCTGTTTAAGCAGCTTTTGTCCTTTGAAGATTAACACAGTTTTCTAAAGGACCCACCTTTGATGTGAAAAAGATTCACATGCACCGGTTTCTCAGTTGCCACTATTTTTTGTCTTTGCTGTCACTCACTCACACAGACAGTCACTCACTCCCTGTGGCTGCACACAGGAACTCACAGGAGATCTTAAACCTTTTAACCCTTTTAATCAAAGTACACAAGACCTTTTCATACAGAGAAGCTGTTCATTTGAATGGAAAATCTGAGAGGTTGGGGTATGTCAAATTCAGTTTGTTTTGCCTTGAATTGATAATTAAACTGTGCGTTGGCCTTTTGCCTTTCCTTAAAGAAGAGAGAAAAGAGAGACAGAAAGAAATGTGTATTTATAAGACCATAACACATCTTATGCACAGTAGACAGGCTTATTAGCCATCAAAATGTCAAGGTGCACTGAATGAATGCCCAGCAGGATAGTCTTGTAATGTGGCAAAATCAGGTTCAAATTGAGTTCAAATAGCAGTTTATGAAGAAGAACTCTTCTGTTTTATTTCACTGAATTTATCACATCTGCAAATATGTCAGTCTGTTTATCGTTTTAACTTCAGATGTCTTTCTGTTCTTCACACTAATGTTCATAATCAGAGTATTTATGAACACAGGCCGATAGCAGCTTATTAAACCTGTTCAAAGCGATTTTAATGCATTTAAACATGCTTTATGTTAGATATGTGGCACATTCACATTTTAGTATCCAGCAAGTGGAAACAGATGAATGCATGTATGTATTTATTAGTAATAACATGTTCCTGCATTTGGTCGCAGCACATTTTCTAAAAAACACATTTAGTTTTTCAAATAATAGTAGCTGTTTTGTTTTGTGGTTTCAAGAAATAAAAATGTTTGTCAAATTTTTTTATGCAATTTTTTAAAATTCTGTTCATTCATTTGAGGCTTTTTACAAAATGAAATTTTAAAATCAACCCAGAAATAATAATAATAAAAAATGCTATTCATAGAAGAGGTCTATTTAAGTCATTGCATGTATGAATTTCATTTTTATGCATTTTATGTTGAATTTTATTATATGTTGTATATGTATTGTGTATGTGTATGTAAAGAAGACATGAACAAAGCTGTTTTCTTTCTTGCAGAAACTAACTCCCTGGGTGGGTCTAAGGAAGATAAATGTTTCATACTGGGGGTGGGAGGACATGTCTCCCTTTACTGCCAGCACGCTCCAGTGGTTACCAGGGGAGCCAAGTGACTCAGGGTTTTGTGCATACCTGAAAAGAGCTGAGGTAGCCGGACTCAAAGCCAAACCCTGCACTGCCAACCCCGAGGGGCTGATCTGTGAGAGCCAGTTGGTGAGAAAAGTTTTCGTTGTGTGTTTTTTTTTTTTTTTGCACCTTTCCTTTGTAACATGAACCTGGACGTGATTCAACGCCTGCTCTGTGGTGGATGCTGTTCTTATACATCAAACCCAAACTCAATTGGTTCCCTCAGAAAACTCCACAGAGTTCTGAAGAAATGGGAAGTCTGGCATTCACATTTTGTGTGTAGAACATTCACACTGTTCTACACATCCTTATATTAATATATAAATATATTTGCATGCAAAGAGCATAAAGAATTAATTTCAACTGGTCCTCTCCTCTTCTCTGTGTTTATTCTGCTCTTTTTCATGTCTTATTTACATTTTTTTCTACTCATTGTGCTCATTGGGCCAATAAGAATAGATATTGTCATCATCGTGATTGTAATAAACATTATTAGTACTATCATCTTTAAGTGTTGATGAAACTGCAGAACTATTATTATAGCTACAGAGTTTGTTATAATACATAATTACAGTGCAGTGCAAAGTTTAATTGAAATGTGGGATTTAAAATGTAATTTTAACATTGAAATAAAATTTTTGGATTAACTTTGGACAAATAAAAATTTGAATGAAATTTTATTGTGTAAAATAAATAAACATTTTTTTTTTTTTATCTTTTTCTCAGTTACTAATGAAAGTAAATTTTTTGACATTGATCGTCTGACTTTTATAAATGTTGCTTCCATTCTTCATCACCGGGTTTTACACAAACCTTTGGATTTCATGTTGTTATTGTTAATTCAAAAGAAAATTAAAATGATTTAAAGTAATTTGCATGTTTAAAAAAAGCTAAAATAAAATATAAATATTAGATGATAATCTTAAACTTAAAAAATAAACAACTTAGAAATGGTTGCTTGGCAACTAACTGACAAATGACAGAAGCACATACTGAAACAGAATTACTAAAATTAAGATGAAAACTGATAATATGAAAATGAAAGCTAATCCAAAATATTAATAAATAACATAGTAGTATATAAATAATATTTAAATATAACTGATTCATGCAGCTCATTGCATGAAAAGCAGGCCATCATTTCTGAAACTCATGTTAATTTATCAATTCAAAATTTCAGTCATTGCAATGCTGATAATATCATTTGTAATAAAATCTTGCATTAAATTTGTAAAATGAAAACAGTTCAGATTTTCACAAGTGGTCTCAGACTTTTGGACCCTATTGTATATTTATCAGGAAATGGAATTTAATAGTTATTCAGTTATCTATAGTTTGAACATTTTTGCCCAGAATTTTAAATGATGTAATTTGCTTAAAGGTCATTGCAATACTGACTACTGCATTTTCCTCCCTCAGTGAGCCCAAACCTTGGCGTGCTTCCATGTAAAATTCCCTGCGCCCTGCGAACCAGCTGCGCCAACTGCACCAGCCAGGCCATGGAGTGCATGTGGTGTGGCAGCACCAAGCGCTGTGTGGATTCCAATGCATATGTCATCTCCTTCCCATACGGCCAGTGCCTTGAGTGGCAAACTGGAGACTGTGGTGGTGAGTGCACTCTTGTACCATCGAGGACACACACGCATTAAGATACATGGCAGACTAGAAGCTGGAGCTATGAGTACACACTATTCTGGTGAACACACACACAGCTTCTAACTTGCTTACTTTCCGCCTTCTAATTTTTCCCTTCTGTTGTGAGCCTAAGGCGAGATTGAGTTCTGAGAGAGCAGATGCTGTGAAAGCTCAGCCTGCTGCACAGGCAGGTATCAAACTCACTATAAACTCCTGTCAAACTCTGACTGGCCTCCACTGGATAATCTATAAATGATCAACGTCTGTCTAGTCTTGCACATGAGACAGAGACCCTGAACAAAGAGAAAAAAGTCTTTCTGATCTTAGTCTCAGACCAGTCATCTTATTCAGACTTTTGACTTGTGGCGTAAAGTCTGGTCTGCATCGCAGGTTTTCTGACCAAGAACTGCCTGCTTAGACAGCAAGAGACTGATTTTCATGTAAAGTGACTAAACACTATTTGTTTTGTTTTTATGTGCCGGTCAGTGGTGTGGTTTTCTAAAACAAATTCAACACTGCAAAAAAAAAAAAAAAAGACTTAAAGGGGTAGTTCACCCAAAAATGACAATTTGGTCATAATTTACTCACCCTCTTGTCATTGCAAATTAATTTTTTTTCTGTTGAACGCAAAGAAGATATTTTTAAGAATTTTGATAACAAAACAGTTTTAGTGACCATTGACTTCCACTGTATGGACAACAAAATGAGACATTTCTCAAAATATCTTCTTTCACTGTGAAGTTACATAATTTTTCCGTTGTAGTGCCACCTATGGGTAAAATTTATGCAACTTGGCATGCAACTTAGCAAACAACTTGTCCGGTTACCTACAGGTGCATCTCAATAAATTAGAATGTCGTGGAAAAGTTCATTTATTTCAGTAATTCAACTCAAATTGTGAAACTCGTGTATTAAATAAATTCAATGCACACAGACTGAAGTAGTTTAAGTCTTTGGTTATTTTAATTGTGATGATTTTGGCTCACATTTAACAAAAACCCATTTTATATCACATATTACTTTTCATGATTCTTTGATTAATTTTTGTAACATTCTAATTGTTTTTACCGTCACTTTTGATCAATTTAATGTGTCCTTGCTGAATAAAAGTATTAATTTCTTTCAAAAGAAAAAATAAATCTCATTGACACATGGGATGATGACTCCAGTTATTTCAGTGACCTGTTTTATTTTACATGGCCATTTCGAGATCACATATCCAAAGACTTGCGATCAGTCTTTGCAAAACCCATTCTTTTAAATATTGAGGGGGATGTGCCTCCCTCGATATCTACGTGGTCATGCATGCATGTGACTTCCTCTCTCAGAAAGTCACATAGACCAGCAGTAACTCTATTAAAATCTTTTATCTTTTAATCTTTCACTTTATGCTTGTTAATCCTGACTGCAATCTATTTGACAGGCATCCTTGTCCCTGGTAGACCTCTCCATGAGACCGAGTTTTCATATTGGCTTTAGGTCAGACATGCCTAAAACAGATTTTAAATTAGAGTTAATTTTATACATATTTTAATACTTCTGTTAAACGTTTCATTTGAAGGAATGAAACAATAGAGTTACATTGATGTCTTATTGATAATTTATGGTGCAAATAATGTCCCCACATATAGTTATTAAAAACAGAGGTAAATCAGTTGTCATAGCTTCTGGAGATTTCACAAAATGTCTCAGAGTTTTTTTTTTTAAGTCTAATTTCTGAACCAGTGCCACTAGCGACTTTCTTTGTTATAATAAGGACTTTTTTCTAGACTTAATTTGCAATTTGTAATGACCTTTTGTGAAACTTCATACTGAATCTGTGTAAAGACCCATCAGTGTGTTTATTAAGTTTAGGCAAGTGAGGTGGTTTTTGACTTGTGCGAAAAAGGGTTAATGCGAATAATGGGAGATGGAAATGCTTTATGCGAATACATTCCTCAAAGCGCATCAAAAAAGCCATGTGACTTTGCGCTATGGGACGGCAAATCCTGCTAACCAGTGGACCGACCTTGTTCCACACCATCTGAAATGTTGTTATATGGTCATTCGGAAATGCCCGAGCAAAGTCTGTCATCAAAGTATTTCTGTATAATTGCCTCCCAGAACTGTTAAACGACTGCGTTCCCAAACAGCAGCATCCACCTCCGAAAGCGATAACCGCATTCATTCTGCTCGTTCTGAGGTGCAAATAATTTATTATATAGGAAAATTATTATATTCAGTAGCTTCTCCTACTTTTCTTAGTGATGTATAGTGCCAGTTTATCAGGAAGTGATGATGTTGTTCTCTTTGACTCGTTGGATGGAAACGGTGCTTGTTCGCAAATGTTTTAATCGATATTCAAATTTTGCGCACAAGTTAAATTCGCAACTTTGATGGAAACCCGGCTATTGATATAAGATGTTTGTATAGACCAATTTAGAGTAGACGTCACAGTTACTCACTTGCAGCTGCGCGCGCATAGTGGTTGCAGAAAAACACTGGGAACAAGTGGAGATAAATGGGTAAAATCCATGGAATAAAAGAAAAAATATATTTTTGTGCCTTTTGATGTCAAGATCGGAATGCAAATAATTTTTATAGAATACTGTCGTCAAAGACGCCATTTGAAGCTAAACGCAGACGTTTAAATGGACATACTATGGATGACAACTGTTATGATTACTCTACTTTTAAAGCATAAATTCGATTTAAACAATAGGTCTACATAATATTCACATATGCTGTTCATAGGGGACGTATTGTATTAGCCCTACAGTTACAGCATGAAATATTATTTAAACCTTACTATTAACATTTTTACATAACATTTATTTTATCTCACAATTCTGACTTTTTTTTCTCGCAAATGCAAGTTTATATCTCCTAATTCGGACTTTATAACTCGACTTAACTCAAAAATAGTGAGTTTGTCAAATCTGAGGGAAAAAAGCCAGAAGAGCCGAGGGGAAAAGAGAGAATGACGAGTTGTGTTTCCTTAATAGAATTGTGAGATATAATCTCGGAATTGCGAGAATAAAGTCAGAATTTTGAAATATAAAATCAAATTTACCTTCTTTTTTATTCTTTTATTCCATGGCTCCATAGACTGACTTGAAAACCGTCATTTTCTGCCTCCAGATAGGCTCCGCCCACAAAAACCGTCATCCCTGTTTTCTTTTTAAACCTAACTATTTTGTACCCTATCCGTGAAAGTCTAGCCATAAAGGCTCTCTCTCCCGGGTTTTCTGCAACCATGATGCGCGCGCATCCTGAATGTTTACAAACCTATAATTGGTCTATACATCCTTCAGTAATCAGAACAGCTTCAGTTCATCCTGTCAGTGTTTTGGTGTTCATCCTGGTTATTATTTTGATATTTATCAATTTTGTAAATATTAACTTTAATATTAATACATTTTAATCTTAAATATGAAACTTTGTTTTTTATGTTTTATTTTTAATTTATTTGCACACATGAACAATATTTTCAATTTAATAACCTGCAGTTGTGATAATGGCTTGGAAGACTCCTTGTAGATGATAAAACTTTACCTTTAACATTTCTAAATAGAAGCTCCTAATGTCTCCAAACAGCACATTTTTGAATATTATAAGATAGGTCAAACACTGTGGCACTTCAAAGAGCTCCTTTTTTTCTGTCTTACTTTCACTTCTGAGTATCACACTGACTGTGGTGTCATTCCCTCAGAGTGCCTTTTTGCCCTGTTTTTAATGATACACTCCACATCTCTTAGAATCTGCCCTCGCCATTAACCCTGAGACACCTTTTGACCCTCACACTGTCTAAGGACCCATGGATGATGGATGCTGCTACTGTCCCTATTGCCTGCATACATTTTCTGCTCCCACACACGCAAATGTCTAAAAATGAAAGGAGGTCATTACTGAGGGGCTCAGGAAACTTTATTATAGAAAACCTCTACTGGCACAGGTAATGTTAATCATATGACACTGTCCCATGTGTCTCAAATGTCCAGCACTCTTGAATGTCAGACACATTGTATGAATACACATTCATAATGTAATGGCACAAAACAGGATTTATTTTGAAATTAAAAGGTCAGATACTAACACAAAGTCAGAGTACATTTCAATGCTTGCAACAGAACTGATATAGAGTAATTCTGAATATAAACTAAGAGTTGCTGCAACTTCTAGGAGGTGCTAACATATTGTTTTTTGTTTTGTTTTTTCCTCTTTGTGAATATCTGGCAGTCTTGCGAGTTTCACTGACAGACTGTGAAAATGCATTTGCATTCTCTTATTTTTTTCGTCTTGGGTTATTTAGATAAAATAAGCTGATGTTTTGGGTCTCTAGGTCTTTATTGTTCTTGTTTCATGTCTCTCTCTCTCTCTTTTTCTCTGTCAGCTCCAGTGATTGTCACTGCTGGACTTTTTATATTTATCTGCTGGAGATCAATAAGACAGCTCCTGTGGTGGTCTTTTCTGTTGGGACAAACAAATAATTGTTTGCTTGACTGTAAAAACATCACTTTAAATGCCATATTTCATCCACACTTCAGTGGTAAGCATTATAGCTGGTTGATTGCGCTGAAGGCAGACCCTTTGTAAATAGGCCCATGTGTGTGGGCTGCCTCTACTCAGAGGCGGAGTTTTTAAGCAAAGCTGAAACTGTTTTATCGTTGTTTGAGCTTGACAAGTATGTATCTGATCTTACATGCATAACCAAAATGTTTTGCTGCTAGCCTGCAGCAGATGTTCTCTGATGGCCTGAGCGCTTACGCAAAGTGATTTTACTTGATATTTTATTCAGGGTTCGTACGGTCATGAAAAACCTGGAAAAGTCATGGAATGTTTAGTTAAAAGGTTACCAGTGTTATTTTAGTATTAGTTATAAACTATTACAGTATTAATTAAAGCTACACTATGTAACTTTTTGCCCACTAGATGTTAAAAAATACATCTGCATGCTTCTTAAGGAAGAACGTTGTTTTGGTTGTGAAGAATGTCTGCTATTCCCAGTGAAATCTGTCTCAACTGCTCTGAAGTATAAATCATTATTTTAGGTTTATAAGTGTATAGGTGTATTTGGGTAAAATAAAGGTATGGTTTGGAAGATGGATTTTTTATTTTTGCACTCAATATTTTTCAATACTCTCATCATTTTTTAATCAAAAAGTTAAACAGTATAGCTTTAATACTAGCTTTTGTTTTAATATTTTCATATAGATTAAGTAATTTTGATGTACTTTTGTAAAATATTATTTTGATGTACTTTTTGTAAAATATTTGCACTGGTGGCCAAAAGTTTGGAATAATCTTTTTTGTTGTTTTTGTAAGTTTCTTTTTCTCACCAAGGAAGCGTTTATTTGATCAGACATACAGTAAAAACAGTAATATTGTGGAATATTATTAACATTTAAAGTTACTGTTTTCTATTTAAATATAATTTAAAAAGTGATTTATTCCTGTGATGCCAAATCTGAATTCTCAGCACTCCAGTCTTCAGTGTCACATGATCCTTCAGAAAACATATTTATTTTGATTTATTTTCACTTTTAGTATTTGTAATTTTGGTATTTCCACTTTATTATTTATTTCAGTTATCCTGTACTAATTGATCTAAAATTGATCTAAATCTTCTCTCTCTAGCTCAGAACTGTTCAGGTCATCGTACATGTGGTCAGTGCCTGGAACATCCTGACTGTGGTTGGTGTGGAGACCCTACTGACACAGGTCAGGGTCAGTGTATTGAGGGATCATACCGTGGACCAATGAGGAGCCTGAGCAGACAGAGCCAAGAGAGGGTATTGGACACTAGTATCTGTTCAAGGGAAAAAGGCTATGACTGGGCCTACATAACCTGCCCAGGTAAACATAAAAACACACATGCTCAAACCTGTAAATGATGTTGTGTATGAAAACAGTCCAATCAAATGAACACACACTCCTCTCACTGTATGTTTCAGCATGCCAATGTAACGGGCACAGTACGTGTGTTAATGGCAGTGTATGTGAGCAGTGCAAGAATCTCACAACTGGGCCGCAGTGCCAGATCTGTCTACCTGGTTACTATGGAGACCCCACAAATGGAGGGAAATGCCAAGGTGAGATATGTGTACAAGTGTGTGTCTGTCTGTTTGTGTGCTTGTTTGTATCTGCGTTTGAAAATCAAGAGTATGACTCTTGAAGGAATAGTTTGTGCACCCAAAAAGGAAGGTGTTTTGCTCATCTGCTCACTCTTTCAAGCATGCATGATTTAGGGTGTACTCACATTAGGCGTTTTGAACCGTGCCCAAGCGCGTTTGACCCCCAAAGCCCGGTTCGTTTGATTAGTGTGAGTGCTCCGTGCCGCGCTCGGGCGCGGTTCGTTTAGTCAGCCCTTGCCCGGTTGGAAGAGGTGGGCCAGGGCACGGTTCGGTTGGGCTCGGGCGCGGTACGCATGCAGTGTGAGCGCTAACCGCGCCGGAGCACGGAACAGATACTATTTTGTGTGCACTACTGTCATCATTACGACCGCAAACATGATAATCGCACTCGGGCTCGGTTCAAGGCAACCGTGCCTAGTGTGAGTACACCCTTAGTCTCTGTGGAACAACATACATTTAGCAGAATATCCAGATGTTGTTTTCCATACAATGAAAGTGAATAATAAATATGGCTGCCAAGCTACAATCAAAACAGAAGCCACAGAAGTAGTCCATTTGAACGTGCCATACATTCCAAATATTTAAACGACAAAATTTAAGTGCAAAAGTGACATTTTCCTGATATGTACCATTCTTTTGTTCCGTTTCTGTTTGACTGACTGACTAGAGCGAAGCTAATACTTAAAATTTTGTATAAATGTATGCATGCATGGAAGGACTTGACTGACCAACAGATTGCCACTATATTTTTTATTTGAATGCCATTCCATTTTGTTTCAGACCAATTTAACCCCTGGTTCTTACATATATCGTCATGACAGGGAGTGTGAATTCTGTGCAAATTTTAGACGGTGCAAGGCAAGCTAATGAGTGAGTCTTTCCAGTTTAGCCTGGGCAACCTGCTAAATAACTCCTTTTCCATGGAAGAAAAAAAAATCATATTGGTTTGGAAAGGTTTGAGGCGTGAGTAGAGGATGTGAGAACTTTCATTACTTGTTAAACTACGACTTTAAGGTGTACATGTGGCCACACACTATTTCAAACTGAAATCGATGCAGTAGTTAATTCATAAACAGTCTGCATGCATCCAGATGTACCAGAGGATATCCCAGTGTCCCCATCTAATTTTGTTGTAATGGTTAGTGTAGCCATATTTCATTACGAGTGCAGTGTTCAACCTGACGCAAATTGTATTGATTTGATGTGGGCTCCTCGTGTTAGTTCTTCACTGTGGCTTTTCTCCCGGTTTCCAATCACTGAGTTTATATACAAGCTTCATCATTCTTAGAGATGAAACTGCAGCGAGAGCGAGAGAAAGGCACCAAAGAGGCACAAGGAAGGTGGTGTAATAACATCATTCTCTGTCGGACAGATGTGCGTTTTCTCCACATTCTGTGACATTAAATCACTCTTAATAATTTTCTTATTTCCTGGACTTGACTGCCGCCCCACCTCCTCGTCTATACAAGCAGTTCAGCGCTCACAGCGGAGATTTGATAGATGTGCGGCCCTCCACATCTCTCAAGGATACATGCTCTCCCTATTCCATTTCTCCTCCCTGTTGAATACCTCCGTGATTAAGAGTGCTTTATTGACTGCGTCTTGGTGTAAATGCACACATGTGTTTAATGCTCGGATTGTGGCTGCCGCTTTTACAGCAGTGTCATTTTTCAGAGTTAGTGAATGGAGGAGATTTACCTCACCTCGTACACTAATACGTTTAAACCACTGATCTGTGTTAGATTAGACGAGGAGAGATGGAGAGCAGCCCACTGTGTGGAGAGCAGGGAAGGCTGGATGGATATCTCTCACCGAGTGTGTGCGTGTGTTGTCTGAAGGAGAAAAGAGACAGGCCATCAAAGTAAGATCAATGTAAAATATGACACGTTGCCGGCTGCCCTTGATGAGAGAGAAAAAACAGTTTGTGGAAGATGGAGGACATGTGTCCGTTTGAAATGGCCCACTTAGTTAAAGGACAACAGAGGGCAGACAGAGTCCTGGGATTTTGTGTATGTACAGTATGTGTGTTTATTTATTTGTTTGAGTGATGTAGTTTGGAATTCATGCTTTTCAACTGAGACCTGCTGAGGTCTGTCTTTTGTGCATGTACATACTTATATGTGTGTGGGCTTGTTAGGAGTAATTTTATACCATGGTAACGGTATGTAGCACAATAAAATGGTTTATATACTGTATATATATATACACAGTGGGTACGGAAAGTATTCAAGGGGGCCACAGGATAACTTAAAACTATTTAATTATATTTAAATGAACATAAATAAAATGCTAAAGACATACTTTGCTAAAAAATGCTAAATACATACATAAATGTAAGGCAATTAATCTTATTGTTTTTATTTCTTCCTCCAATGAGTGCAAACGTGACTCTAATTTCTGATAATCATAATATACATATAGTTTCAAAGTGGCTTTATAGAAAATGCATGTTTCACATGTAATAGAATCCAGATGTGACTATGGCTATGTTCATACTGTCAGAGTCTCAAAATGTCACGTTCACACAGCAACTTACAGTAGCTTCTCGGATACTGTCTGTATGAACATGCAACGGGAGTCAAGCCCGTATTCCTTACCAGTTACCATAGCGACAGTGACAAAAGTAATATCAAAGATGGCGACGTACATAAAACTGAAAGTCTTATAACTTTCTGACACGACAAGAGTCCAGTCGAGCCGCGAGTTCATCCATCAAATCTTAATTAAACGACAGTAGCTTTTATATTTGGGTGGAGAGCGGAGTATTTGAGTCGCGCGCAGAACACAAAACTGACGGGAGCGGCTCCGGTGGAGATCTAAAACTTTCAGATGACAAACGGCTCATTTCTCCGTCACTGTAAGTTACTGGAACCAGACATGAAAACATGCAACACACGGTAAACATGCGTTTGTGCAGCAGAGCGGTTCCCTCTTGCACTGTGTGATGTGACAGACAACTAGTTGTCCAGTCCTGTTCTGTTCACACAGCACGTGTTTTCCGAGAATGCAGTTGTGAGTCCTGAAAATGTACGGGTGTGAGTTCGGTTACAGAATGCGGTTGTCATGCCTGAAAATAACAGTACTGTGTGAATGTAACCGTATTAAGGATTCAAATACAGGACTGACAACCGTATTCTGCTGCTGTGTGAACGTGGCCTATGTCAAGGGTAAAATCCACTCTAATGTGCTGATTCATTTGAACAAATCGGTTAGATTGACAAACAATGCAAACAAGTAACTCTGAGCTGATTTATTTAATTGAATCAAACAGATTTACAAATCAGTCTTAAACTTTTACTCTAATGCTTAAAAAATTATCTTACATTTGACCCATTCATCCTATTTTTCATTTAAAAAATGGTTTCAGAGCATAAGTTGACTGTGCTTCTGGCATGCTTTTTATGTTGAGTGATTTTGTAATTCGATAATTAAAGTAATTTGGCTTTTACATTTTTCATTTTACCACTACAAGTATAAGCAATTGTAATAGCGATCTTTGCATTGCACATTTTGCCTGATCCAGTTACAATATTGTGATTATTATTTTGTGACTAAAGGCCGGGACACACCAAGCCGACGTCAAAGAACTAGTGGCGACGAAAACCGACGGTGTTTTCGCCTCGCGTCGACAGCGTCGGACCAAAAAGCTGCGCTCGAACACACCACACAGTCTACAGCCGACGGCAAACTAACACGTGCGTTCTGCGCATGCGTGAGAACTCTTTCGCTAAACTGAACATCCAATCAGAGCTCTCACTCGTGAATCGGGCAAACTGCCGCCGACGTGAGCCCGACGAGAGCCAACGAGTGGAACACACCAAACAAACTAGCCCGACCGTCGCTCACCGTCGGCCCGACGTTGGGCAACGGTCGACCGTCAGCTTGGTGTGTCCCGGCCTTTAAATATTTTGTGCTAGGTATGGATATCGCCAACTGCCTCACAATACGGTAGTTTTTATCCATGTACTTGTAGACATTTACTGTTTTTTTGTGTCTGTGTGTGTACCTGACAGAGTCATATTGACCCTACAGCGGTGCTATTCCTGGCCTCTGACTGGACAAACACATGCACACAACACCCTTATTTTCCCTCTCTTTATTTGACCTGTATAAGTCATTCTCTGCTTGAGGTATAAAACACACACCTGTTCAGTCACCCAACATGACAGTCAAAGCTGGACCTGGAGCATAGTGAGCATAGGAATAGTGTGTTCATTTAATCTCCATGCAAACTCCATCATTTTCATAATTATTGGGATAGTTCACCCAAAAATGAAAACTCTATCATTTACTCATCCTCATGTTGTTTCAAACCTGTATGACTTTCTTTATTCTGTGAAACATAAAGACATTTTGAGAAACTTCTTAATGTTTTTTTAGTCTATACAATGATTCACCAAATAATAATCACCAAAACTCTTTTGTTACCACCATTCTTCAAAATAGCTTAATTTGTGTACCATAGAAGAAAGAAAGTTTGAAAGGACATGAATGATGACAGAATTTTCATATTTGGGTGAGCTATCCGGCAAGTCCATCAGGCTAATTTCAAGCCCCTAAATCACAGAAAACGTTGAATCAATCTCTCATAGGTTATATAATCATAAACCTCTAATAATAGCTTTAAAATCCATTTAAATCTGTTTTAGTTTTGTAAACTTTGTTGCCTCGGTAACAAGATAATTGAGAGCACTCCAACTAATGATAGTGTCTGATGAAGGTTCCCTAATGATTGTGAAGCTGGTGGAACTAGTGTGACAGTATGTAATGAGATTATAATGAACATTTGGGAGGTGCATGTTCAAATAGTTCCGCTAATTGCAACGCTACAGGTAAATAAGCAGCTGTTTATCCACTCTTATTCCTCAATAGTTTGTGGTATCTCCTCATCCTCAATCCTGATTTGAGCCTTTCCGAACCCGTTTTGCTTTTAGTAAAGACATCTGAACATTTTAAAA